GGGGGGGAGGGGGGAAGGGGTGAAATTAAATATCGCTTCGGTCACATTTGTTCTGCTTCGCTTTTCAGCTATCAAGACGACTTCTCCAAGGTGTGTAGTATGTACATGAAGGGGCTCTCCTGACTTAGAAGTTAAGGTGTTCGCCTCTTATTCAAAGGTCATGGGTTCGAATCCGGGTAGCGACCGAAACATTTTCTTCTCTAAAATTGACTCCTTTCACACCCTTTCCTGCTCTCTAGCAATGTTCTGTCGTCTGCTTTCGTCGCCACTTTTTTCCTGACTCTCTCTGCAGTCTGTCCACTGCTACTCCTTGGCTCCTTCTTACTGCTGTCTTTCAGCCACAACCCTGATCTTATTTTAGGAAAGATCTACACCTAGCCTTCTAGGACAAGGGCGAAAAATCTTGGAAATTTCGTGTACAAGTTGTGCACGTTAAAAGATCCCTTGATTGTCTACAATTGATAAGACTAGGCTTCGGCCGCAACACGGGCAAACTTCAAAATCTCCTACAAACTGAAAATGTTTAATGTGTCCCGCGCGCTCATATGACTTTATGCAGTTGCAAGAGCCGTAAAACACTTACCCAAAAAAAAAAAACCCAAAAACTCGGTAGTATTTGGTTATACCCAAGAGGACTGGGGTGGTAAATCTTGCCTACCTTGATACCAGAGGTGTGAAAAAGCCTAAAACAAATATGAGGCGCTCAGTTGTCCACTAACGATGCCTGCATAAACCTGTGGTAGAATTATAGTAAACTTGGTTAAACACAAAGCTGTTTGACACGGAATTCATGTTACCAATATGAGGATTTCAAATCCCTGTTTCAAGTGTTTCCCCCTTTTTACATCTTTATTCCCAGCATTATAACTTCCCTTGATTGTGCACGAAATCTGCTTAACGCCAGGAAACTACCTGGCCCCGTAAAGTTCGTGTCATCGAGGTTTTAATGTACCAGGTCCTTTGTTATGAGATTGAGAGGCCAGTAGATGACCTCTAATCTACCAAGTCTCTCACGAATTTTGATTATAATGTTCAATGGAACGAAATGAGACCGGCGTCAGGGGTGTAACAGTTAGGCGCTTCGCTGTTACACACAGGAGACCCGAGTTCGATACCTGAGAGAGGAGAATTTTTATCGAGTATCTCGGTCTTTCTGCTGAGATGTTGCATCCCTCTCAGCTTGGATTGGCTTTAACAGGCAGGGTCGGAAGCCCGCCTCTTCCTATGTATGATCTAAATTATGTCAGCAGGGGCGTAATAACACCTATATTAAAACAAAAAAGAAACAGATGTAAAAAACCACGGGAGTGTCCATTAACCGCCCTCAGCACACTAGAAGGAGACAGAAGCAAAAAAAGACCCAGTGAGAAAAGAAATGAAAGACTGGCGAAGTCAGTGAAAACACAATGAGGTCCGACCTTTTGGCCTGGATTGCCGATAAAATAAATACAGAACCAAGACAGGTTCTCTCTCTCTCTCTCTCTCTCTCTCTCTCTCTCTCTCTCTCTCTCTCTCTCTCTCTCTCTCTCTCTCTCTCTCTCTTTCTCTCTCTCTCTCTCTCTCTCTCTCTCTCTCTCTCTCTCTCTCGAGTCTCTCTCTCTAGAGTCTCTCTCTCTCTCTTTCTCTCCGTCATTCTCATTCTATCTCTCTTTCTCATTCTATCTATCTTTCTCATTCTATATATCTATCTCTCTATCTCTGTCTATCTATCTATCTATCTATCTATCTATCTATCTATCTATCTATCTATCTATCTATCTATCTATCTATCTATTTATCTATCTACCTACCCCCTCTCTCTCCCACCCCTGCTTTACCTTCCCCTCCTCATTCTCCTCCGTATCCTTTTCTCTTTCCCTTAACCCCCGCACACACAAATGCCCCCACACAATCATCAACATAGAACACATAAATACATTGAAAAACAAATGAGCAGAAGTAACGTATTGCACTGATTGCTTCTAAATTGAAAATTTTATTTCTTAAATTAATGTCACAGCATAGGTATCATCTGGAATGGACGGATGGTATCACAGCCAAGTCACTGCCTTGACAATTATTTTAAAAACCCTTAAAAGTTAAAACCATAACCAGAATATAGTCTCTAAGACATTGGACAAAATACAGTATAATATACGACACATAGGAAAACTGTATATGTTACACCTCATAATTTTGACTTGATTGGATACATGCCAAGAAATTTTTTCTCCGCATAATTTAATTTTAATTTTGGTTAAATCAGGCATACAAGTTCAGACTCACGCGTAAATATCACGATAACAACATGTTGTGGCATAAAAATAAATCTCAAAATATAATCTTTCAACAAAACATCGTAAAATATGCAAACAACGCTCTCTTTTTGAACGTTGTCAGACTTAAAGTGTAAAATAATGCGATCTTTTTTTGTATAAAGGGAAGTGTCGGACTGTTAAAAAACATGACAAGGGAACGCAAAACCAACTTGTCATAACTTGAAACTCATAACTTTTGACAGAACTTTCTAGCTCCTTATCTAATCATCGTAATCCGAGATCATTTCATATTTGTCTTCTTAGGACCACTATTTGTCTTCAAAGTCAACTCAAGTTCCCTCATTGTCGTCCCAGCATGAGACTGCTAAAAGTTGTTCCTTGTCTATTATTTTATTGGTTTGAGAAGAAAGAAGTCCTACGGGAAATATCCAGTCTACGCGAGCATGTGTCAAATCGTACCCGTCGTTGTCCCCCTTGTTTGTCAAATGTACCGTTCACGAAACAGATGTCTCGTCCCGACGAAAATGAAACCAGCGAAAAGGGAAAGAAAAATCCGTATGTGAAACATTATAACACAGGGGATCAACGCACAATGGCAGGCTGTACGCTATGATTGTTTAGGCTGTCAAAGGCAACATCAACATTTTCCTTCTGAAAGCTCTGAGAGGTAGTTATTCGAAACCCCAGTAGGCTTCTAGCAAAACGTTTTTGTTTTGGACAATTGAAATTAATACTCTACTTTATTCAAATCGGCGTAAACGGCTCTGGGCTGAGCTTTAGACAGATGAAAAGACTGAAGACTACAAAAAAATCATCCCTCCATTCTACCCCTTATATGGCTCATGGAGTAGTCATTGGTGTTGAGACATTTCTGCCAATAGATATTTCACATTCAAACCATTAATCTGTCATCTTTCAGTGCTGGCAGACCAACAGCTGAGCAATAAACGTTTCATCAGAGAATTTGGGGAATGCAGTAAGCAGTTTTTAGGTGCTTAATATTTTTCCCATAAGGATTGATAACAAATAAGGACATAAAACAGTCTAACTAGTTTAAACAACAACACAAAAACCTATCTGCTAGAAAATGCAGCAAAAGCAAAGCGTGGAGGACCGAATGCACTTGAAAGGAAGAGGTGGGGCTGTGTGTTTGGGTAATAAAGGCATGGGAATTAACAATCTAAATGGCATATAATATATGCCTCTAAGATCAGGTTGGTTGTACATGCAAGGCACAAGTAGCATGGGAAAAGTGCCTGAAAATAACAGACAGTGTTCCTATTAGAGTCTGAAAGGCACTCGTCTCAGATTTCATTCTTCTGAATGTGGTAGTTCAGCTCTGACGATGACGATAACGCAAGCCTCTTCCCAAGGTCGCGCTTCATGAAGCAAAGGGACAGAGAAAAGGGGGAAGATAGGGACGAATGGAAGGTGGAGGGTGGAAGAATTAAACGACCACCATAATTAGTGCACGTGTAGTTTCTTATTTCGTTGTCATTAAAAATAAGTTAAACAAAAGTGTGAGACTAACGCCAAAGTAGCAGCTGAAGCGGAAACGTTAGAATTAGAAGTTCATTTGAACGATGGAATGAGAAACCCATGTTTGTTTTTAGCTTAGATGTCTTAGTCCAAATCCAATAATCTTTGGCTGTGTTGTGTATACCCTCATTCATGTCCCCACTAATAAAACTAGTCAGCTAACATCTGTTTAGAAACAAAGGAATTGACACGTGGTCTTTACCACAGAACACAACAGGAAAACAAATGGAAATAATGTCTCTCACAATAGACCCCTCCACACTGCTCCTCAAAAGAAAATATATCATAAAATACTTATAAAGTATTCTTTAAGTAATAATTAGTGAGACAATCACTGAATAATCATTGATTGGTTATATGCCTAATTTTTCTTTTACAGTGTTCATTTGAATATTCGTGTTAAGTAGGAACAGATCAGTACACAAAAAACTTCTTCTGGAGGCCCCCTGGCCTCCCACCCTTTTAGAAAGTCCCAGTCCACCTTTGAAATAAAGTGTAGAATCACTCCCACATAGTGGCAATAATATTCTGCTCACACAATAGAAGTATAAGGACGCTTACAGTAGTTGTGTTGATACACCATTGACTTGTTAATTAAAATCACTTCGTAAATATTTTAGAATCAAACAGAATAAGTAGACATTGTGAAAATACCCATAAATACCATAAATATTCCCATAATTACATACCTCATGTCAAATCACATATATCATGCCATATTTCGTATCAGCAATCAAACAAGGAAAGATCAGCGTGGATATGTTTGGTAGACAGTAGAAATATTCGGATATATCGTATATAGCTGACAGTAGTCTTTTCATACTACTCTCTCTTTTCCCCCTCTCTTTCTCTCTCTCTCTCTCTCTCTCTCTCTCTCTCTCTCTCTCTCTCTCTCTCTTTCTCTCTTTCTCTCCCTCTCCATCTCTCATTGTTCCTGCGAGTGACACTGTAGAGTGACACGTCATGACGTCTAATACTTGGACTGCTTGCTGCCGGCTCTCATCCACGTGTCGTCCAGTAGTGTATTACGTGAGGGGGGTCTGTGAGGAGGGGGAGGGGGAAGAAAGTAAAAACAATTCAATCAGAATGGGAAATGGCTGTGGTTTGTATTCCCTTTTCTATGTTTATTTTGAGTTGTTTTTATTGTTACTGTTGTAGTAGTACTTGTTGTTGTTGTTTTTGTTGTGATTTGTGTTGTTGTTGTTTTTGTTGTTGTTGTTGTCGTCGCTGTTGTTGTTGTTGTTGTTGTTGTTGCTGTTGTTGTTGCTGTTGTTGGTGTCGCTGTTTTGGTTGTTTGGGTTTTTTTTTTAAAGAGACGAGCACAATGCCAAGTAAATTGTCTTGTACACCATCAAGATTCAGACTTAAAGCAGAACATCCAGTCTACAAAATATGACAAACACAAATGCCAGCCCCTACCTGGGAATGTTCGACACAAACAATAATTAGGAAATTATCATAATCTTTTGGCATGAACACAACTTTCATCAGGTGCTTTAAAAGCACACTGTACATATGGGATAACCAAAAAAAAAAGACATTTAGAATTGATTGCATATCTTACGTTGTTATAGGGAAAATATTCGCGCACATGCCAGAAGAGAGAGGTAGAGAGAGGAAGAGAGAGGTAGAGAGAGAAAGAGAGAGGTAGAGAGAGGAAGAGAGAGGTAGAGAGAGAAAGAGAGAGAGATGGAGGAGAGAGAGAGAGGGGGGGTGAGAGAGGGGGAGAGAGAGGGAGAGAGGGGGGGGGGAGAAAAGGAGAGAGAGATTTGAAATATCACAAATTTATGACCAATCAGCAATCACTGAACAATTTAGTAAGAAAAGGCAATACAGAAGCAGAACTCACAAACGAAGAGCACGGCACGCGCGCACGCACGCGCGCGCAGGCACAAACACATACACACACACGCAGACACACACACACACACACACACACACACTAACACACACACACACACACACACACACACACACATACACACACACACACTCACACACACCACACACATGCCCATACAAAAATAACGATGTGGGGCAAATTGCATAAATAAATCTATCTAAAATTTGGAACAGATCACCCTTAACAATCCCACATGTATTCATAGAAGCAAGGCAGTGAGGGAAAATCTCAGCGTACATACAAGTTGAGAGGGGTGTGTGTGTGTGGGGGGGGGGGGGGGGGTCATAAACATAGAGAGTCAGTGAAAGAAGAAACCATTCAAGACATCAAGACTCCGAGCATCATCGAAGGATAAGTCAAGGTCAGAGAGTAACAAGACAACATTTTGAACGTGAAATAAAAGTTTTAAAAAGGACATGAACATAGACTCAGATAGTAAAGAACAAACATTTCAAGTACTGGATTCGTATAACATTGGACACTCATTACAGAATTCTCCTATTAGAGCATGAGGGGGTGGGGGTTGGAAACGAAGGTAGTGAAGAAAGTACATTTCAACTATAAGCACTAGTTTATTGGGTGCATATTACAGAATTTACCTCTTCCAATATCATGTCCCTGAAGCAAGCCCGGAGAGATCATCCCACTAAACTGCTCAAGCACACGTTTTGACTTTTTGATAAGAACTGATCCGACCATTATCCCCTTAACCACATCAGATGAGTAATTATAATTTTAATTGTAGATGTTTTACTCTCCCATCTACACAGTTTAGGTCATAATTTAGATGGAAAGCTGCGTTGACCCCGTTTGTCTAGAATAACCCGGGCTGAGAGAGATACGATGTCCGAGCAGAAATATGGAGATTCTCAATTTTAAAAAACTCTCCCCACACTGGGGTTGAGCTCACGTCTCATGAGTGCAACGTCACCGAGCCTTTCCGCTACACTGCAGACAATGGTCAGCAAAGTAACAAAGCATAATGGTCATCGCCTGTACAGCTAAACACTGGCCAGCTAAACAGATGTACTAATCTAAAAATAAATTATCTTAACTTAACCACTGCACCAAAGACGCCGGGTCAAATACAGAGACAGAACGTGACTTATTAAACATCAATGGAAAACGCAAACTGGAGAACACTGAGTGGGTGGCTGGAGGGTGCCCTGGTGTGGTCTGCTAATTCTTTACTATCAAACATCTGATTCTACCGTCCTTATCCCTCCTCCTTTTCATGTTTGTTACTCTCTTGCAACACCTCTAACCCTCCGCATTAACATGACCTAATTGTGTCACAAGTGCTGTAAAACACTCACTAAAACAAAAAAGAGCACAAGGAGAATAAGTCTGACATTGAGCAAGGAAAAGAAAAAAAAACATAAGGCATTGTTTAAACGAAAGACCCAGTAGATGACTTGTTCTAAAAGAAACACGCAATATTAAACCAAAAACTAATTTTATGATTGTCAATGAGATGGAAAAAAAACGTAATAAAAGAAACCCAGTAGAGAAGTTCAGCTATAAGCACAGTTCCTGAGATCAGGGGTCTAGCACATCAAGTAATAATGCACAGCTTCAAAGTCTAACCCCCATCTAAGCACGGTCAGTGGGACAGGGGTGTTCGTCCCAAACCCCACGACAACCTTTGAGGAACTAAAAGTAGCCGTCAAAAGCTAAGATAAATAAATAACTACAAACAAATAAACACTAAAATAAAAAACCTCCTTCTGTCTCCTCTTCGAGTCGCAGTACTAAGACATTTACTTTCTCACGTTGTCGTTGTCAATGCTGATTAAAATGGCACCCGCAAAAGAGATACGGGACCAAGACCAAACAAAAGAAAAGAGTATACGCATACGAAGTTCGAAAACAAAAATCAAGACAACATTGCAGAAAAAAATAAGATAAAAAATTCGACGTATTCTACTATCCTCCGATCAAAACAGCGATGAAGCTGAAAACACGCAACATGTAAAAGACATTCAGACTAATCATGCTCACTATGACGTGCCGTCTATCGCTTGACCCTGATGAAATCATTCAAAACAATAACAATGTAATAAATGGTTCAAAGGGATGACTGAAATTCTAGCGGTAATGAAGCAGATGAAAGTGTATAAACGTGAAAGTGAAAAAAAAAATGAAAAAAAAAAGAAAAGAAGAAAAATAAAGAAAAGAAAAAAAATGTTAAAACTATTTAAATGTTCTAAAGTAAGTGTGTAAATGATGAATAAACTACCTGTCGCCACACCATGTTATACGAACGTTCTGATTTATTTTTAAAAATCAAATCATTGATTTCCGTAACATACTTTGTTGCCACGCAGTCAAGAGGTATATAAGATTTTGACTTTTTAAATTGATTGCAAGTCCTAACTACGATACAACCAGTTCAAACACAACCTGTTGGAGATTCGAATCATTGTCACCTGCCTCACAATCCCGCATAACAACGACCAGGCGAACATGGCGCCCTTTGAGAAAAGAACACTATGGAAGAGGGGGTGAAGACGAATGGAAAAGACATGTACTTTGAAATGGCGGAGAAAAGAAAGGAGGTCATCAAATTAAACATTAGCAAACAGTGGCAGCTAATTTGCCTGTTGGCATTATCTAGTAAGCCCATAGTAACAAATAAAAGATTAAATTTTGATGAAATGTATGACATGATGTGAGTCTACAGCCAATTTCAACAAAAGAAAGGCAATCCATTGGAAGGTACTTTGGATTTTACGGCCCATCTACGTGACTAGCCCCTCGCTGAAAATAATCTCTGCTTTTAAAAATCAGTTAAAGCTGTTTCATCTATATCATCATGAAGAAACCCTTTATCTCCAAGAGAGTAAAAATAATATATTTCGTAGCTCAAATCATAGCCCGATGCAAAATGACGTGTCTTAATTTTATAATAAAAGCCCAGAGAACTCGTTGACATCTGGAAATCACGTTGTGCAGCAGACACATTTCCCGCTGTCGATGTTGAAATTAATGGTGTGCGCAAAGGGAAATATGCTAGGAAGGAGCGTACAAAAATATTGTGCGAATAAAAAACTATGGGTGCCTTAGACCAAAACCTGAAACTTTTTTCCCCGAAACTATTACTTGTTTAGAATCTATTTAAAAAGCTATTAAATCTAATGTGCCGTGGCATGATTTTTTAATAGACCAGAAAATGATAAGACATAAAATATTACGATGAAGCAAATTGTTCGACAGAGTGTCTAAAATATAGTAGAAAATGAAAATAAATTTGATTTAGTTATATCAAAGAAAGTAATTAACATGCATGAAGAAGAGGAAGAAAGGTAAACATGAGAAGAGCTTAGATCGTTGTCTATGGACAACAGAACCTTTTCAGGAACAGAGATATGAGGCTGAAAATTAACTGATAAGTCTGTCTATACGAGAGAAAAAAAATGTAAAGTATAAATCGGTCTGGCCAGCTACATTGTCCCGAGTAGGACACGCATGTTGGTCAACCCTGTACAAACGAAACGCCTGTCCGAGCACGAAATACAGTAACTATAAAACATTAATTGAATTATGCAAAGCAAACTGTGGATACATTCGAGTGAGCTAAACCTTTTTACGCTTTTTACTTCTTTTTTTTAAAATATGATTTTCTTTCATTTCATTTTTATTTGCACATTTAATTAATGTTATTGAATTTTTTTTCCCTTTTCAAATTTCATTTTTTTAAATGTATTTTTTTTTCATTTCTTTTTCTTCCTTTTTTTTCTTGGGGGGGATTAAGAGCCTCTTGATCTGAAGTCGCCTCCAACAAAGAACGTAAGAGATGCGTTCCGCTTGAAAACGATTAATGATGGTGCGCTGTGGACATGCTTAGTCGTTATCTTTAAGGTGAAACCACGAAAGAATGAACTTCCGATGTCTACCACATTCCTCGAGATTATTCCCACCACTTTTTGTGACGTAAATAAATGTATCTATTCATAAACGTCAAATAAAAAAAAAGATTTGCAAACAGTTGCATTCTTCCTAATTCTTCTCATAAATATAAGTTGAGTACATTTAACAACTGATACAGTCTAGAAATTTTAATAAGTCCCAAAAAGATCCCATCAAAGCAATAATTTGCGAAACATTTGACCTATACAAATGCCATCCATGATTATCATTATCATTATCATTATTATTATCATTATCATTATTATTATTATTATTATTATTATTATTATTATTATTAAATATGAAAACAGCCAAAGACAAATTCTAAATCTGCGAGGCCGACGTGAACTGTGGCCCAGGCGTTTCGTTGAGTTACAGGGTTAGCAAAGCCGGAGCTACTTAGCCGTTCTGACCGAGGACTCACTGTGAAGGCGGGGCTGAACGAGTCAGAGCGAACTTCAAGGTCGTCTAAGTACAGCCTGCATAAGTGGACAATGGTATTACAACTGCACTGGGGGGTAACCTTAAGACCGAAGAAGCCTGTTTACAAAACCCCTCCAGCTGAGTGCTTATTATCAAATATCAAAACCTGCATACAGTCTGTCTCAAGAGTAAACCGGTTGCTGTTGTTATTTGTTGTTTTTACTTCACAAACAACAACTTAATAATTACATTCATTTTAGTTCTCATAACTGTCCAGTAAGCAGTAAGGCACACAAAAAACACCAACGGCGAGCATTGTATTAGCGACCAAGTGGGGAAAATGGGGCCGTCGTTACTCTTCATAGAAAATCCTGACAAGCAAAATAACTCACTTTTGTTCGATTAAGGTGATTTATTCGACACCCCCCCCCCCCCCCCCAGCACTTAGCCAGAATTACACTCAGGTGAACGAGGGCAAACTGGTTAAACCACATAACAGCTGCATATTATTTTACCGCCTCTACGTTCGTCACGGTTACTCTGAGAAAGGCTACAAACGCCTAAAATGGCCGACTAAAGACGACGCAGGCCCTGCATCTTGACAATATTCCCTTTACAACAATGGAGTTGAACAAATAGAACCCTTTGCCCCTGAGACAGGGGGCTTGTTAGGAATAGAACGAGGAACCTGCGTGAAACGAGCACCTCGTAAATCTAATCGACTCTGCACCTCACAAGTCTGGAGTCCTCTGGAGTCTCATTCTTTTTGCCTTGAAAAGGAAAAACTTTTAGGAGGTGCAGCAGAAGCTATAAACGAGTAACTGGACTTTCACATGCAATCGTACCGTTTAGCGTCGTGATAACTTTTAGGTAATAATAACAACGATGATAATAATTATGACGACCGTTCTGGTGGCCGGTACCCGAAAAAGACATCAGTACTCCATTTCGTAAGTGGCAACTCTGTTTTCATCACGAGTAAACGGAGAAAGTGGGACAGATTCCCAACAACTTCTAAATTGCCAACAGACATGACATTGAATAATACCATTCTCACAGATGGATTACGTATTATATTTCATTTTGAGGGGGTGGTTCGCCTCCTTATACCCTGCCGTCGCAAAGAAAGGGCGGGGGGAAATTTCGCGTGATATCAACCGAACATGTTCTGGCTGAGGCGTCTCAAGATTCGATCACTTCTTCCACATCTAATTTTTGAAGTTCTGATGAACAGGGCCGGCATTATGAGATTACAAGATCGAGTTCCCCACTTCTGGGACAGCTGCGATTCAAATCTCATAATTAATACGCCAGTGTGTAACTCGGACTGACGGGGAGGACCCGCGACCTGAGGACTGTAGGCCTGTATCTTCCTTATAAATCTCATGGTGATAAATCCGTGCAGTTTTAATGGCCCCAAAGCAGCTGTGTGTGCATTGCACAAGCGCATATATACCTACCTACTTTGGTCCTTTGTCGGTTTAATTATTTGTGTACTTTCTTTTCTTTCCTGTTTTCGAAGTTGATTATCGGGTTGGGTTGAAAAAAAAGATGGGGGGGGGGGAGTGATGTTGGTCTAAATGGGTTGGGTGGGGGGAGGGGTGATGTCGGCTTAAATAGGTGGTGCAAAAGGGGAGGGGGGGTGGAGTTCAAAGTGCGTGACGGGTGGAACAATTAATAAGAGTTTTTACTTGTCCTTACTTGATACTAACAAAATCGTTCCCTCTTTCTCTCTCTCTTTCCCCCGCTCGCTCTCTCTCTCTCTCTCTCTCTCTCTCTCTCTCTCTCTCTCTCTCTCTCTCTGTTTCTCTCTGTCTGTCTGTCTCTCTCTTTCTCTATCTATCTATCTATCTATCTGTCTCTCTCCAACGTTTTTCACCCTTAATACATGTAAATCCTTTGTTTTTCCGGATTTGAAATTTAGGTGTGCGAATACAAGTACAAGCTCACGCACATACGTACACGCGCACGCACGCTTGCACGCTTACATGCTTGCATGCATGCACACTTACCCACCTATATTCAATGAGTCTCTCCATCAGAGACGGAGTACGCAATATCTTTGAAAACTTCAAATAAAGTTCCATATAGGTTGACTTTAATTATTCCATGTTTTCCAACAAAAACCCAGACTCACTAAACCATGGGGCGAAGCGAAATGCACTGGCTCATCATAGTGAAAGAGTTAAAACAATTCATCCCTCAGCCTTCGACCCTGAGCTAGAAAACATAAATCAAGAAAAAAAAAAGAGAAAAAAAACTGAATCAAAATGTTAACCCATCAGTGTATGTGGGTTGTTTCCTTTTTTTTTAGAGGACTGTCATCCAAGAAACTGTTGTACAAAAATGAGAGTTCATGCACTAGCGCAAAGAACAGAATAAGCACATCGAGATTTAAAAGTAGCATTCAATAAGAACATTTTCCTGTGTCTGTTATAGAAGTTCCCCCCACCCCCAAAAAAAACCGTTCAATTTTCAAAAGTAGATAGAAGAAAAAAGAACCACATGTCCCTGAAAAACAGTGTAACATCTATACGTACTCGAATCAAAATAAACAATAAATTAAATAAGGAATAATGTTTAAATATAAACACTTAGGTTCACACTGGTACGGTAAATCAACAATTTCAAGGGAAAGAGCCGACTCGCCAGTAATGTGGGAAATCAGTCAAACTGAATTGTGATACCAAAAAGAAACAGGGTTGTTCGTTACCTGTTATGTCCTTGTTTGGTCATAAAACGATCCAAGACATCTTCAGGGTCATACAAAGACACGTCATCACCTGCAAGGAAAAACAAACATGACATGTATTACTAGTGTTTTTGCAATCCTTTTATCAAAGTTCACGTAGGTTCTCTGCCCAAAAGTGGGACGAGGAAAACTGCCTTTGTATTGCAATTGATTCAGAACCTGACAACCACAGGCAAGTGTACGGTTCCGATAGGAATGGGGTCTGAATTTTTAAAACCCTACCATGATTTCCTCTAAATCCATGTCCTTTTCGGGGGGGGGGGGCAGATTTGTCCAGTGAAAATTTTAGACTTAAAAAAATAACAACAATAACTTAAAACGGTATCTATATAAACAATAAACTTCAATGTAAAAGAAAGGGAGGCGAGGGGAATGGTGTTGGGGGTGGTAAGAACCTTCGAAATTTTTTTTAGCAATTGGGGATAAGAACCAGATTTTAAATAATCGCTTGTTCTAGTATGAGTCGTCCGTTGAGTATAAAATAATAATCTCGGTCTTTCTGCAGGGATGTTGTATCCCTCTCAGATCGGATTAGCCCCGACAGGCAGGGCCGAGGTCCCCTTTCTAAATGATTTACATAGTGTCAATGGGAGAGTAAAAAAGAAACTACATTAAAAAATGTCATCAGCTATGCTGATATGCGGGGAGAGCTTAGCTTTTTATTGAAGCACTTTTTCTGATTCTCTTGTTTGTGTACGAGTTATAGAACAGACTTGACAGTGGAGGAGCGACTATACTAAATTTTATCCCCCTAACTGTCTTCCCGTAGCTTCTTACAAAATCGTATCCCAAAGCAGACTGTTGGGAGATTCAACACATCCAGTTGTTACGAAAACAAGTTTTCCGCTGTTCTGTTATAGTCAGGTTGTTGGGTGTTTTTTTTTCAATTAGAACACTTGCCTACGCCTTTGCACGCCATAAAGAAAGATTAGACCACCTGCAACGCCGTGCGTGCAACGCGATCCCAAAATGATATTTGAGCTCTAGCAATACACACACATTATGTCCTCAAACATCATGAAACGACAACTTGAAGATATTTGGCCGCCCGTACTTTCAGCAACAAATAAACGGAGCGTGTGAATTTTCTTAGTCTTAGGCCTATAAATTAGACTCGAATATTAAAGACAAGCATGTTAGAATGACAGTCGAAGAACTAATCATATTCATTAAACATATTTATGTTTGGGGTTTTTTTCATGCAGGTGCGTCTGGTACTTGCTGGTGAATGATCTTAAGGCTGGGAATTGTGTTGACAAATAATAAGAGCTATACAGGTGGAAAATCTACATGCACGAGTCACACTATCAGCTCACAACACAAGGAAAAGGAACTGTGCCTTTTTGAAAGAGCTCTATACAAAAGAAAAACCACCTCGTTAACTGGTAATAAATTCCGTCATAAATAACACCAATAGCAGGACACATCCAAGCACATAGAGACTCTCGATCGCTCATTTCTTGACTATTTGAACATAATATTCATGTTTTATGTGTCTCTCTCGGTTTTGGAAAAGGAGTGTAAGCAACATAAAAAGGCCAGCAAGATTAAATAAGTACATGTATACACAAAGCACATGTGACATTCTTCGAAATTTTTAAATATTCAATTTAGCCTCAGATAAATGTCTAAGTGATATGCAAAGCTGCAAAAAGTACGGACTGGGCTAAATGATCATGACAAAATGCATGGCAGCTGTTGGCAACCGTAAACAAGGTCGGGTCATGACGCAATTACACGTCAAACTCTGAGTCAGAGATGAAACCTCCAGGTATGCCAGACGTACATTATATCTTTTTTTGAAAGGGGGC